AAGTTAAATATTAATATAATAATTAGATATTACAAATAATTTGGTAGAAAAACAGTGCTTTTACTTTTATTGGTGCAAAGATGAGTTGTGGTGATATTTATTTTGTACAACATTTGCAACTGCTTTTTATCATTTAATTAGAAGCACCACAAATTAAAATTATGTCATGTTATAGGGACTACTGAACAGACATTTAGAAGATGATTTTAAAATGCAAAGTATTTAAAATTTAAATTAAAATAAAGCTGTGTAAACACTTGCATTTTTACAACACTATAAGTGTGTCCCATCAGGTAATGAAAAGTTCGACACACACTTGTGGTCTTCACACCCACTTGAAAACTTCGGCCAAATACAGGAAATACGTCATTTAAGTAATCAAGTGGTCAAGTGCAAAGACTGCAAGTATTTGGACAAAGCCATAGTGTTGTAAAAATGCAAGTGTTTACAGAGCTTTATTTTTATTTTCAATACTTTACATTTTAAAATCAACTTCTAAATATCTGTTCAGTAGTCCCTATAACAGAAGACACAATTTAATTTTGTGGTGCTTCTAGTGATAAAAAGCAGTTGCAAATGTTGTTCAAAATAATTATCACCACTACTCATTTGCACCAATAAAACATGCAACTCTTTGTTTTACTACCAAATTATATGTAATATCTAATTATTATTAATATTTCACATACATTGGAAAAGTTTCCGTGACCTCTCACGAGATCTCGGCAAAAAGTCTCACGATTTATTTCCACAACATGATGCATGATGGGATACACTAAGCCTTGTGTGGATAGTATGGATTTAGTGTGTGTTAAGGGCATTGCGCTCTGGCGTTTTTAAGATCTGGGTCAGTCTTGCACACTTACTTCCTGTCGCACGCACGCGCTCTCAAGTGGCCAAGACCGCAAGTGTGAGTATTTGGACAAGGCATGTCTGGGGTATGAATAGAGGCAGGACTATCATCCATGTATGAATAGAAACAGTTGGTGCCGGTATGTGCCTATGGTGCGGAATACGCCAAAAAATTCCAAAGAAGAATAAGAAGACTGTCTGGGAAATTTGCGAGAGTTATGTGTGAGCAGTGCGATTGTACAATGTGGTTTGGATGGTGCTCATGCGGTGGAGAATTACAGCCATTAAAGTCCACAAAGTTGCAAAATACCGGGAAATATGAGCTTATAGTGAGTTTTAAACTATTTCTCATTGTATTGGTGAGCCGGATGGCTGTGTATCGTGTTAACTCAAGTCAGTTTCTGTCAGGACGTGACTGTGAGGGGAAATCAAATCAACGCAGTTGTTTCTCAAAGAAGTGTAAGTGTTGAGATATAATTAATTTCAACAAAGTATTGAAGCTGTTTTTGTGTATAATTCTATGTGAACCAGTGTTATTGAAATGTAGTTTTGTTTAATCAAGAGCAGAGAGAAGTGCTCCATAGGCCCGCTGTGTGTATCTGGAGCGAGTGTGAAGCATCAGAGTGAGTGTTGTTCACTTTTATTGTTTCTGAAACGTGTTTGGTTGAAAGGAATAGAATGATGGTGTTGTTCTAATGTCATGTGTTCCTTTTATTGAGGAAAAGTTTGGTATTTTGTTTCTTTTACTGTCTGCAGAGGACAATCAAGTTCACCACATGCTGTGTAGACATGTGCATGTGATAGAGTGATGATTAAGAGTAAGTTTGAATTATTTAATTCAATTTTGAAGTTGTTTGAGTGTTCATCCGGTGATGTAAATCAACTGAGTGTTAAACTGTGTAACAATGTTTAAAATGCATTAATGATACACTAAGATATAACTTCTAATGTCCTTTTCATGTAACTTAAGCAGCCTTATTTGGTCTTATGTGCTGGCAAATGTTATACTGATGTGTGTTTTGTTTTCCAGAATAAGAGGCTGCTACCGTTGTCTATGTATGTTAGTTTTGTGATTGAGCACTGATTGTTATGAATAAGAGAAAAAAGAGACAGACTCATTTTGATGTAAAAATCAAACTTTGTTTTCAATAACCATACAAGCTTTAGTCTCCTTCTCAGATTCCACAAAATTTGCATAATTAACGCTGCACTGTTTCAAGTTCAGTCTGGAATAAAATATCCCTTTTTTAAATTTTCCATCCTGTGTCTGATGTTATTGCCAACTCACTAGGGCTGTGCAATTAATCGCATGCGATTGTCATGTGCATCATGTCAGTAAAGCCGGTTCTGTGATTAGTAGTAAATCTCCATCACATGCTTTCAGATGGAGCGGCATTTAATACACAGAACTTTACTGCTTTATTTAATACATAGAGCTTTAACACACCGGCTTTACTGATGAGATGCGCACAACAGTCGAATGCGATTAATTGCACAGCCCTGCAACTCACTTACTGGGCTACAGAGAATTTTGGTACCAGGAGTGGGGTTTCCATTGACTCCAATTCCATTCCATTCACTCTCTGCCAGCAGGTGGCGCTTAAAGCATTTCCTTTGTTTCCGCTGTAAACAAAGCAGCGCTGCACTTATGAACTTTAATATGCATTATACAGAGGCAAGATGAAAATAAAAAATACCATCTAAACTTTTCTAAAGACAGTAAGTTCCCCTCAGACATACATTCATATAAACTCCTACCCCTAATTGAATCGCGATTTGTTTAGCATCTCAACCTATTTGAATCGTCACATATTTGAATCGATTTTCAACCAGCTCGCAGTTAATCGTTACATCCCTATCAGATAGAGTAGGAGGAACATAGACAACGGTAGTGGTGAAGAGGGGTCGAGTAACAGTACCAAAGAGGTCAACGACGTGAAGTGTGGCATGCCTGGAAAGCCTGCGGGGAAGCAAGGGACCAGTTTTTGGAAACGCAGGAGGGTGTTCACTTCACCGCTGAGATCGTTGACAAAGGAGACTGTGAGGAATCGCCTCTTCAGGTTGCACTGCAGTGACTGTGACTGTGACTGTGTGCCATTCAAGATAGAGACTTCATATGAACATGGATCAGTCGGCTGCTCGGGCTGGAACCAGCCATGATATGGACAGTGCTGGGGCTGTGAGTCATGGAAATGAAGGTAATCCGGTGGCAGAACTGGAATCACAAATATTGGAGCTAGGTCGAAGACACGACCAAGTAATGTCAACCCTTGCTAATATGAGTGATGTTGCCAATAGGTCATATGTTTATATTCCGAGGGAGCATCAAATTGTGCCCTTCAGTGGTGATTATGTTAAAGATGGTCAGTCTGTCGATGAGTTTATTGATGAGGTTGAACGTGTAATTCGGGTAACAGTTTACACATAACAGTTCCTGACAACAATGTCCTACATACACAATTTTGTGTGTGCCTTTGGAAAGAAGACCCTTTGGGCTTTACTATCCATCATCCAGAGTTGATAATGCTCAAAAAGATAAAAAGTTATAGACCCTGAAGTGCCTTGATAAAAAAAAAATATATTTTTTTATTTTATATAAAAATACATGAAATCAGTCCTGGAGCAATCCAGAAAAGTGATGGGTTGAGAGTCACATGTCTCATGAGTTTCTATTTCAAATCTGAAGAAGATACCATGAAAAATTAGATCCCTGCAACCATTTTTCTGAGACTATGTCTAGTCCCCCATTCTCCCACCCCCCGTTTGAGGAAAAATATTTACCAAATGTATGTACAAAATATTTTAGTCATTAAACATACCACTGCATAGTTTTTCAATTATAAAACAATATGCTAGACATACAGCATCCTGGAGCGATCCAGAAAAGTAATGGGTTGAAAGTCACATGTCTCATGAGTTTAGATTTCAAATCTGAAGAAGATACCATGAAAAATTAGATCCCTGCAACCATTTTTCTGAGACTATGTCTAGTCCCCCATTCTCCCACCCCCCGTTTGAGGAAAAATATTTACCAAATGTATGTACAAAATATTTTAGTCATTAAACATACCACTGCATAGTTTTTTGTGTGCATTTAATTTATTTAATACACGAGTTTCACAATTTGAGTTGAATTACTGAAATAAATGAACTTTTCCACGAGAATCTAATTTATTGAGATGCACCTGTACTTGGGTTTTATCTGTGTTGGCTAGAATTCGATTTTAGTCTAAATCTATTTTATCTCATTTCATTTATATATGTTTATTTAGCCTGAATATCCCTATTCAGCCAAGTGTAATTTAATTAAATTTGAAATGTAATTGAATCAATGTCCTTATACACCTTTCATTTTAGTTTCCTATACCTATAAGGACACTCTACTTTTACTCTTCATTTTGACTTTATTCCTCTATTCTACCTCATTTATTTACCTTTGTTTCAGGCTGAATATCCCTATTAAGCTAAGCTGAATTCAATTACATTTGAAATTTAATTAAATCAGTCTGTTTATTTACCTCTCATTTAGTCTTCTAGAGCTATAAGGGCATTCTACATTGACTTTTACCTTATTTTAGTTATTTTACCATCACCATCTTCGCGTTTTGTATAGGATTACAGTAGTTCTAGCAACTGTTGTTTCCTTAATGAGTTATACAGGTTATTAGTAGCCTAATCCCTGTTTCCTCTCTACTTCTCCTCACTCCTCAGTGCCAGGCCTAGTACATTGAAGTGCAGTTACTGTTCAACACCATGTAGGCACCAGATAGAACTAGAAACACTCCCCATTGTTTCTTTTTCTGTTTGACCTCAAGGTATTTGGTGTGTCCCTGCTAGCTTAGCTAACAGTCTAACCCTAGGCTTATGAGTTTATTGCAGCATCACCCACAAGTGACACCTGCTTAGCCTTATCCCCTAGCAAAAACTAAATAGGTAAAATCTTCCTTCTTCCTTTTCCTTTTTGATTTCATCTTATTGTTTTATTTCAGTTTTGTTTTATGTTTAACCTCATAGTGACATTTGAGAAGAATCATCAGTGTTTTGGGTGTCAGTTCCCTGTAGAACTCTGTGACTTGCAGGTTCAGTTCATTTACCTCCTGTCTGAGGCCCTTGAGGGTGTGGGCCAAGGAGAAGATGATGCTGGTCAGGTCCTGGTGGTTCAGGATGGGTGTCAGGTGTCCACTTGTGTCGCAGTCTCGCTGTTCCTTTCTCTGCCATTGCAGGTCGTTGGCTGCTTTGGGCTGAAGGATGTCCATCACAGTGCTCTGCTGGGTTTCCAGGTGGTCCTGGTGAGCTGGCAGGGCTGGATGTCTGTGGAATGTCTGCGACATACTGGCACACTTGTGGGAACACCAGAGAGAGAGAGGCAGAAGGCAAATGCAAGTATGTACAGAGGTGCTAAGCTATCTGTATGGGGGATGGCCGTGTAAGGTGTGAATAGCTGGTGAGAGGCAGCTAGTGAGGTAGGGTGCTATGTGTTTGTGTTCGTGAACACAAAGAGAGAGTTTGAGTAGCTTTGTTGATGGGGCTGAAAGCAGCATAAACTGTCGACTGTGCTTTTAAATGTAATCAAACTATTACCTGCTCAACAAGAGAAAGCACAGAACAGATGCAAAGAAACTGACAGAATGGCGCAAGAGATGGAAATAACTAGTCTTCAGGAGGCTCTAACAGCTGCTGGACACAGAGCACAGCTGGAAAAAGCCATCAGACATGACTTAGAAAGAGAACTGTTTCACAAAAAGTCACTGTGGGGAGAATTATTTGGCAATTTAGCACCTATATAAATGCATGATCTGTGGCCAGGACTGTAATTTATATGCAAATGTCAAAGGCTAAAAGGGGTCTCTTAAGCCATAAACCCCAAAGACCATCCATGATTTTACGCAGATGCTACAGCCTCCCTTTTGGCTGACGAAGTTCACCTGCACACATCGTCAGACAACAGTTTTCATGATGGTCGGACAGCAGGTGGATCATGATGATCGGATGGCAGGTGGATCATGATGGCTAGATGGCAGGTAGATCCTGAAGGCCGGATGGCAGGTGGATCCTAATTTCCAGATGGCAGGTGGATCCTAATTTTCACAATCTCTGCTTGCGTTTCTGTGACTTGTGTGCGAGGCTTGGCTTCAGCAGGGCAGAGTGTCTCTCTTTTCATGGTTGTAACCCGCAGATTCCTTCAGTGTTGTCTCGGAGGAAGGGCTTGCTGGGGCAGAGATAATGAATGTCTTTGGTCAGGGTACACATGCGCAGGTTTGGGGCCAGGTATATCTGTGGGAGAGAGACAGAGGAGAGAGCAGGTTTAAGCCTTTCACTGCTGTTAGGGGTTATGACAGGTCCTACCGAGTAGAGGGCGCTGCTGGGTCATAACATCTAGTTTGGCAGCCTTGCTTGGATAGCAGGAGTGGCTAATTACCTTAAAGATTGAGGAGCAACCTGATTTTGGGGTTTCGCTAGCTGGATGGTTCAGTATACTATGGCCTAGGCTTAGTGATGGATTGAGGTGATCCCGTCGGGATCCCGTGGCAGCTCACTGTGATCTGCCGTGGAGGCAACTGTCACTTCACCAACTAAGCACTAGAGGGAGTGTTACCTATAGGTGACCAAAAATGGCTAGAATACAGAAATTAACTTTAAATTTGAATTCAAACACTGTTGAAACTAAATTTAAATAAGTGAGTGGTAAAGTGAGAGAGAAGAGGGGGAGAGAACCCTGATTAAAAATTTAAATTTTTTTTAAAAAGGAACAAAACAAACAAACAAAAAAAATTATAAAAGTAATAAAGATAATAAAGTAAAAACAAAAATAATACTGAATATGAAAAACTGAAAAAATAAATAAATAAATAAGTAAATAAATAAATAAAATAAATAAATAAATAAATAAATGAATAAATAATTGGAGTACAAAGTCGACCTAGCAGAGAATGCCCACAAGGCGGAGTGGGTGCGCCCACACAAGTTGAAATCAGGAGGGTAGAAAAGGAGTTTTAAGACGTGTTAGATACTTAAACAGCCTGCCCTCTAGCGTTAGTTTAAGGTACTGTGCCTTAACTCCAATCGTGCTTAAAACTGATAGTGTTTAGTGTGAGACTCCTCTCATTCTAACAGAATTTACTGCAGCTATCACAAGAACAATGAGACTCAAATCCCAACAGATTCTTACAGTTTGTGCAACTTAACTGCACAATGATGTTTGTGTACAAATAGAGGCTGTTACAATACAGTACTGGAGGTGGCTTTGAACCATCCAATCAAAAGTGTGAGTTCGCGTTGCGACTTGTCTCACTCTAAGCGTGCAAAATATAAGAACATAAATAAATTGATACTGAGTTTGCTCAAAAACCAAGTTTGAATGCGCCCACGTTCCTCCACCAAATCTCTAGTAAATCAGCTCAAAAGGAAAATATTTATGACTAATTATAACTGGTTATGATTAATAATAAATATTTAGATTAGATCTTCGAATTAACTGTAGCAGAATCAATATTACCACTA